TAATCTTCGAAGCCTCATTTGATGAGCTCCTGAAGGTCGGAGGCCAGGGGTGCTGGCCTTCCCAGCCCTCACGGCAGCACGGGCCTGGTGGAGAGTGGGGTGTGTGGGGAGGGATTGCTGAGGGAATGAATGAATGAATGAATGAATGGAGGCTGGCAGGGAGTGGACCCTCATGGCCAGCCAGTGGCGTTCGGCACTCTATCCCAATGGGCCTGGTGTCTGTGTTGTCCCAGGCTCCCCTCTGGTGCAACTACGGCCGGAGGCAGCCATCAGGTGTCTGTGACCGAGGGGACGGTGGGCAGCACTGTGGGCTGAGAGGCCACACAGCCCGGGGGAAGGCCCTGCCTTCTTAGCCGTGGGCTCTGCTGGGCCGCTGCCGCGGCCATTAGCCACACCCAACCCCACCTTCCTCCCGGGACCCCGCGGCCCCTCACGCCCCAGGGGCCGCGCCTTCTCCCCTGGAAGGCTCGCTTCCCGGCTTCTGCAAGACCCTCCGGCGTGACCTCGGTGTTTGTTTTCTGCCGCGATGTCTCCATGGCTACCACGGAGGTCCGTTGACCTTTTATCGGGGTTCCAGAACGGCAGCCAAGAAACGGTGCCTGGTGCTCTGTCCGCCTCTGTGACATCCATCCACGCCCCGCCTGCTTTCCCCTGGCGTTTCGTAACGCTCTCCTGCTGGTAGACATTTGGGCTCCTTCAAGCCTTTGGTGACTGAATAAAGCCGCTGCGGACATCCTGGCAGCTCTGAGGCGGCCATGCTTCCCCGGGGCACAGGCCTGGAAGCGGAGGTGTCGGAGGAGGGAGGCAGCTTCGGGGTCCTGAGCCGATGGGGAAAGTGGTGGTGGGAGGGAAAGGGCCTTCGGCCGCCGTCTGTTGGTTGTGTGACTTCCTGGGGGAGCATTTACAGCTGCCTTTGGCCACCGTGAACAGATGTGCTTCCGGGTAAAGTCTCGGGATCCGGCTGGCCAAGTCAGAGTGCCCTTGACCTGCATCGTTCATGTGTACGAATCTCTGACATGCTTTCCTGGAGCTTCTCAGAAACCCCGGTCCTCAGAAAGCCTTGGGACGATGGGAATGTCCTAACTACGCTCGGCTGGAAGGCCTCTGCACAGCACAGAGCCGTCTGAGGGCCGCCACCCCCGTGAATGGCCCTGTCACGGGGGAGTGGGTAAGCTCTCGTCCGCGTCACCTTTTCCGGGGGCCGCCCGGGGACTCGGGGCTTCCACTCGGGAGTCATCGGCGAGAACGAAAGGACTTTCTCTGGTTATTTCAGCCCCAGCACCCGCCTTCCAACGAAACGGCCTTTTCCTCGGCTTGAGCTCACGCCTTTGTGTTGGGAACGGACCCGGTGCCAAGTCCGCTAATAATTAGATTATGCGCGTCCTCTGGGGAAGCTGGAGTCTGATCAACTTCCTCCACATGGTGGACGTGTTTCTGAGGCCCTGGGCACGGCCCTGCCCTCGCCGCTCGCCTCCCGAAGCCGCTGCGCCTGGGGCCGAGGCCCACCGCCTGCCCGGCCTCCCCCTGCGGCCGCCCCACTTTCCGTAAGGCCCTCCGATAGCGCGGACACCCACTGTCTCCTCCCACCCATGGGCGATAGGCCCCGCACAGAGGTTATCTGGGGGTTTTGTCTAGACTCTGAAACAAAAGCATCCCGGGAACAGCTCCAGGCGTTTGATTAACGGGCCGGGCCGTTCTGGGAACGCGGTCTGCGCTGGCCGCCCTCCCTGGGTTACCGGACTCGCCACCGGCTCTCGCTCCGGGCGCTGCGGGGCTTCTGCTCGGACCGGATGTGGCCGCCGGGATTCTCACAGAAGCACTCATCCCGAGGCCGCCGCACGTTTGTGTGTAAGCCTCTGGCTAGATTTTTTTTTTTTTCTTTTTTTAAACAAATACGAGGGGGTTCATGCTAGCCTCTGCGGGAAAGAATATTCTGCTGAGTCCCCGATCCCGCGGGTGGCCCGCAAGCATCTTCCCTCTGACGGTCTCCCCCGCCGTGGGTCTAACGGAACTTGGTTTCAGAGGCACCTGGGCCTGAACGGCCTGCCTCGGACGCGGTGCCGGCAGCCGCTCTGGAGCTGGCAAATCTGCCCGCGTGCCGGGATCCACGGGGGCTCATTTGTCCAGATCGCTCGGTGCCATGTGGCCCCTGAGGGACACCGGCCTGTGGGGACTCGCCAGCATGTGGGTGGCCGGCTCCACGCTGAGGGGGCAGGACTCGCTTCTTGCTGAGTGGCCTCTTGCACGCCCGGCCTCTGAGAGGAAGGAAGGACCAGCGTTCCCCGCAAACATTCTGAGATTCTCCACTGTGGGGGGCAGGGGGTGAAATAACTTCTCAACAAGAGTGGGGAATCCCCCCACCCACCCCGCCCCGGTGTTACAGGCTTTATAGAGCCTCGGCCGCGGAGGGAAGGTTCTGCAGGGAAGCCTGGAAGGGGCTGAGCAGCCAGGTCCAGAGACTTCCCCGTCCTGGATAATTACAGGTTCAGCTCCTGAGTGTGTGTCCTCCATCGCTGCCTCCTGCAGGCTCAGCCCCGCCCGGCCTCCGCCTTATGAAGTATTCAAAGCAGCTCATTAATAACTGACTCGTCTGCCCCACCCGGCTCTGCAGCCGCTGCCCTTGGACACTTCCTGGGTCCGGCTCCCGCCCGCTGGCCCTCGTCCCGCGGGGCCGCCGGCTGCGGCTCTTCCAGCAAGTCCTTGGCAGAGCTCTCGTTTGGCCGCAGATCTCATGCCTACTGGCCCCGGCCGGTTCCTCCCACATCATCTCCCGGCCCGGTCAGCCCTGGGCGTGTCCCACCCCCGCTGCTGCCGCCCCGCCCGGACTTCCAGTCTGTGTGACCCACGTGGGAGCTGATGCCCCGGCCATGCCAGGCCAGGCCAGGCCGAGGCGCCGGGTCACCCTCGGGGTCACTGCTGCAGCTCCGTGCAGCCGAACCAGGTAGCTCGCCAACCGCACCTCCTGGCCAGGACGGCCTCCCGGGCGGCCCTCGGTTCTCTCCCACCTCCCACGGGCAGCCACCCCTCACCGCGGGGTGTCCCCTCCTCACCTGGAGCCCGGGCCGGCCCCTGCCCGCCCCACCCATAACTATGGTGGGAACGACCTTCGGGAGTTTTAGGCGTGGCCTGAGCGAGGACTGGAAGCTTCCACTTGCTGCCTCCTGCTGCCCTGACTCCCTGTCAGGGGTCTGAGCTCTTTGCTAGAAAGGCCGCCCCGCGGAGGGGCGAGGAGGTGCTGATGAGGCATCCTGCCCCCCCCCCCCCCAGTGGTGAGCCTTCTGTGGTGCCCACGTAGCACGTGGCAGCTCTGGGGCCAGCACGGTAGGGGGACCCCGGGGGAGCCGGCCCGGGGAGCATGCTCAGCGCATCACATTAGGGGCGAGAACAGGACGTGGTTGTCTGAGCCACTCGGCACCAGCGGGATGGGCTGCGGGGCGAAAGGAAACGGAGAAAGGGGTCCCCCAGGGTCATGACGAAGCAGGAGTCCAAACCGGGTCTCCCCACTAGACAGCGGGACCTCTGGGACCCTTTTCCACAGGCAGCTCGGCCGTAACCTGAGTCACAGGAGGGAACATTACTGTTAAGCCCAAGTCTTACGTGTGTGTGCGTGTGCATGTGCATGTGCGAGAGTGTGTGTGTGTGTGTGTGTGTGTGTAAATATACATACACATCTTCAAGGTTGCATGTAAACTTGCTGTGGAAACACACAGCTCACAGAGGCATCGGCCCGGCAGAGTCGGCTTGGAGATGGACGAGGGGAATCCCAGCGGAGTTCACCCTACTTCACAGTCAGTGGCCTCCTGGCGGCGAGGCCCCGGCTGGTGCGTCTCTTGGGAGGGTCCTTCAGCTTCTCTTGACTCGGTGTATGTGCATCGTTCAATCATCAGCCTGCGGACTGAAGAGTGCCGGGTTCGATTCCGGTCAAGGGCATGTACCTTGGTTGCAGGCACATCCCCAGTGGGGGGAGGGGGTGTGCAGGAGGCAGCTGATCGATGTTTCTCTCTCATCGATGTTTCCAGCCCTCTCTCCCTTCTCTCTGTAAAATAAAAATTAAAAAAATCAATAAAATATATTAAACAACAACAACAACAAAAAGGAGCCTGGCTTTTCAGTAACACGGAATCATTTCCTCATTTCAAGAAGCGACCCTGTTTCTTCTCCTCTGCCCGGGAAGACCCACCCGCAGCCACTCCCTCCTGGGACAGCTCCTCTCCCACCAGCGCCTCCTCCGCCTTCTTCCCCGAGCTCCGCCCGCGCACAGCGCTCAGCCACCCTCCCGCGGCCCCTCCAGCACCGGCTCCATCACTGCCATCATCAAGCCTCTCACAGAGCACCTCCGCCTGTGCCAGGCGGTGTCCGTGCCCGTGCCCGGCGCCCTGCCCCGAGCTCACTGCCCGGTCTGCGCCCACCTCCCTGGCGCTCCCTGCGGGATCGGACCCGCTGGCCTCTCCCTGCTCCCTGGCACCTCCCCCTCCCGCCCGGTGGACAGCCCTGCTCCGCCCTCTGCTCGCCTCCCTGCACTCCTGTCCCCGCGGAGGCTGTCACCTTCCCGGCCACGGGCGGGAGCCCAGGCTCTGCCCTCAGCCCCTCTCCCCCTCCCAGACCTCGGCAGCACCCCTGCCGTCAACCTGGGGGTGCCCTTTGGGTCCCGCAGGTCTCCATCCTCAACCACAGCCACAGTCCTCACTGTGCCTCCCCCCGCCCGGGTGTGCCTGAGCACGCGGCCCACAGGGGACTCGGAGGCCCGTGGACTGGAGAAACGATGGCCAGGAGCCGCCGGTCTGGGCGGAGGCCTCTGGGCTGAGGAGGCCACATGGGGTGGGGGCAGCGCTCCAGGCGGCAGAGAAGGGCCCTCGAGCTGGCGAGTGGGCGGCTTCGCTTTCACTGGACGAAGTCTTACTCATGGGCTCCGCTTCTTGGTAGTCACGTGGCTTCCCACATGGCGGCCCCTGGCAGGCGGACAGCCGGCTTATCTCCGAGTCAGCAGCCAGCGCCTTCCGATGGCCAGATGTGACCTCAGCAGCAGCGGGCAGGGCGCGGCGGGCACTGCCCAGGCGGCCGGGCTGGGGCACCTCGGCCCAGCCAGCCGTCCCGCTCTCCGAAGCGGGCGGGAGGGATGCGGGCGAGCAGCCACCTCTCTCCCTCCCGCGTCTGGCAGGTGCTGGGATGACTCAGACGCTTTGTCCTGGGCTCACCGACGACAGCGGCGGGAACGGGCTGGGTGGCTGCGCCCCGCGCCCGGTGCCACGGACGGGGCGCGTGGGGCGGGAGGCTTCCGCTGCCCCCTCGGAGCCCGATGTCTGTGCTCACAGATACTGTGCGCACTGAGACGGGACACACAGCAGAGGACGGCGGGAGAGCTCGCTCCCCAGGAGGCAGAGGGAGGGCCGTGGGCAGCCCTTCCTTTCTCCACCGCCTTCCTCCGCCCGGCTCATCGGCCCCCCGTCCGCCTCCTGGGACGCCGGGCAGGGATCCTGTCCACTGGCCTCAGGGAAAGTGAAAACCCAAAGGATGTAAGTGAGGTGTCCAGGAGTACATCGCAGTCTATATCTATATCTGTATCTATATCTGTATCTATATCTGTATCTATATCTGTATCTATATCTGTATCTGTATCTGTATCTGTATCTGTATCTATATCTGTATCTATATCTGTATCTGTATCTGTATCTGTATCTATATCTATATCTATATCTGTATCTATATCTGTATCTGTATCTACAATATATCTATATCTATATCTGTATCTATATCTATATCTATATCTATATCTGTATCTGTATCTGTATCTGTATCTATATCTATATCTGTATCTGTATCTGTATCTATATCTATATCTATATCTATATCATCTGTATCTGTATCTGTATCTATATCTATATCTATATCTATATCTCTAATATCTATATACCTATATATCTCTATCTCTATCTCTATCTCTATATCTATACACACTGAGTGGCCAGATTATTATGATCTCTGAATCTCTGAATGCATAATAATATAAATATAAATACATATTTACATTACTGATTTATAATAATACAAATATAAATATGTATATTACTGATTTCAGAGAGGAAGAAAGAGATGGAGAGAGATAGAAACATCAATGATCAAGGGTGATAGATGCTCATGGATCAGCTGCCTCCTGCACACCCCCTTCATGTGCCCTGACCAGGAATTGAACTGCGACTTCTTGTTCCTAGGTCGACGCTCACCACCGAGCCACCCGGCCGGGGTTTAACCACGCGGCCGGTCAGACGGACAGAGGGCGGTGTGCGGAGAGGAGCCCACGCCGGGAGGAGCCGCCATCGCATGCTGCTTGGGCAGGAGGCCTCCCGGCACCCTGTCCTCTCCCGGACACAGCTCAGCTGCCGGCACGCTCCTTACCACGTTCCCGAGCCGGGGAGGGCGGGGGCGGCACTTCCCAGAAGCCGCGGCTGAGAAACGCCTCCCCAAACCGGGATCAACAGCCCGCGCCAGCGCGGCCCAGCGGGCTCCCGGGGGAGCGGTGTTTACCCGCAGCCCTGGGCCCGGCCAGCAATCCTGCCCGCAGCCCCAGAGGGGCCCTTCCCAGGACGCCCGCCTCGCCCGGAGGGAGCTGGCCCTGCGATCGGGGAGGCGGCCAGGCATCGTCCACGGGCGTCCGCCTCCTCCCGGGGAGCGGCCGCGGCCGTGGCACCGCCGAGTGGCCTGTGACAGACCGGCCGGAAGGGTGTGGCTGCACCAACCAGACAGGGAGCTCCCTGCCCGCCTGGGCCCGAGCGCAGCAGCTGCTCAGTCAGTCTGCGGGCAGCTGCGTGCTCACCGCCCGTGTCCCGAGGGGCGTGCCGTCCTGTTTGCACGGCGGGGCTCCCTCCAGGCTGCAGAGATGTCGGCGGCTTCGGCGAGTCCCCCGCGGGAGCAGCTGGCGTGGGCGTGGGGAAGCGCCGGGGCCACGGGCCCCTCCCTCACAGGGAGGCCTGGCGCTCGCGGACGTCAGAGCGGAGTCAGGTGGCCCCAGAACAGTCTCCCTGCCGCCTCCCCGGTGACACCGACAGGAATGCCCTCCGGAGCCCGCAGGGCGGAGGGCCGGCTGCCCTTCTGGAGCCCTCCACCCCAGCCACGAGGCTGTGGGCGCCCGGGCCTGTGGGTCCATGGACTTCAGAACCAGGCACCGGCCCCACCCCTTCTCAGACGCAGGCGCTCCGTTCTCCTCTGGAACCGGCCAGGCGTCAGCGAGCACAGCTCGTGGCCGGGGTTACTGTGTTCATAAGGCCTTTCTCTTTGACAGGAAAAACCCACCCCCCAAAACGCCTCCCGCCCCGGCCTCCCGCCAAACCCGCTGGAAGACAGTGCAGGGGCAGTGGGCCCGTCGCTCGCTCAGCACCAGCGGTTTCACTGCCTCAACCCTCTTCCCCCAAAGCCGGTCTGTGTAGGTCGGGCCGAACCCAGATCCTGTTGGATCGCAGGAAAGTGTGGGTCCCCAAGGACCCCGATCGCAGCAGTGAAGGCCAGTGAGCCGGCCTGACTGTGACCCCTGGAATCCCCCTAAAGCGCTCTCCCGGGGGCACAGGCTCCCCGAGAAAAACATCCAGCGCGATGACGTCGCCTTTGCTGCTGGAGCAGCTGGGCAGTGAGGGACAGGGCCGGCCCCCGCAGAGCGCGTCTGAAGGCTGAACCTTCCTCAGCACAGCTGCAGGCGCTAGTGAGCGTCCAACAGGGACAGCGAGCCAGCCCGGGCGGACAGGGGGACTGAGGGCTCCTGGGAGGCACTTATCTGGCTCTGAGTGACCAGCTTGCCCTGGCTGGTGTGGCTCAGTGGTAGAGCATCGGCCCACACACTGAAGGCCAGCGGTTCGATTCCCTATCAAGGGCAGAACCGCTCATACCTGGGTTGCAGGTTCGTTCTGCCAGCATTCGAGAGGCAACTAAGCGGTGTTTCTCTCTCCACAACCTAAGGCTGTCTCCTCCGCTCCGGAGCTCCCCCTATCTATCTCTCTCTCCCTGTGTCTTGGTCCTCTCTCTCTCGCTCTCTCTCTCTCTCCTCCTCTCTCCTCCCTCCATCCACTCTCTCTCTCTTCTTTCCTTTTCTATTTCTATCTTTCTCTCTCTCTCTCTCTCTCTCTCTCCTCTCTCTCTCTTTCTCTCTCTCTCTCTCTCTCTCTCTCTCTCTCTCTCTCTCTCTCTCTCTCTCTCTCTCCTCTGTCTGTTTGTCTCTCTCTCTCTCTTTCCTCCCCCCGCCCCAAATCAACGGGGGAAAATATCCTCAGGTGAGGATTAACAAAAAAAGAAAAGCTATGTCGATGAAGTGACCAACTGTGAAAGGAATACTGTGTCCACCCAATGATTTCCCCGGGGCCTGGGCAGGTGGCCCTGACTGCCTCAGGCACAGGACACAGGGGCCCACGACCCCCAAACCACCTGCTCGGGGCTCACAGTGTTGTCGCAGGAGAGACGCCTAGAGCAGCGGTCGCCAGCCTTTCGGACCTCAGTGTCCCACAGACCACTGGGCGGCGCGCTGCCCTGGCTGTTCTCCGCACCTGCCTCTCCTCGCAGGGCTGGAACCACAGCCTGCTCCCTTGGCAAACTGTGTGCCTGGGACCATCTGTTTCTTTGCAAAAAAATAATCAGCCGAAACCGGTTTGGCTCAGTGGATAGAGCGTTGGCCTGCGGGCTGAAGGGTCCCAGGTTTGATTCCGGTCAAGGGCATGTGCCTTAGTTGCGGGCACATCCCCAGTAGGGGGTGTGCAGGAGGCAGCTGATTGATAATTATCTCTCATCGATGTTTCTAACTCTCTATCCCTCTCCCTTCCTCTCTGTAAAATTCAATAAAATATATTTTTTAAAAATAACCAGAAAGCTCCAATGACGATGCTGACAGTGGTTAGCACTAAGCGGGGTCCGCGCTAAAATGCTGACAGTGCGAACGCGGACGGATCTCAGTTTCCTCTTGTGCTTTATTAACGCTTTCCGGATTCTTCTAATTGTGCTTTTTAAAGGCTTTTTAAAAATGACATACTTGAACATACTGTTCCTCTTTCCTGCTGGCATTTCCTCTCTCTCTCCGTCACATTTCTCCCAGCTCCCCCACAAGGGCAGCCCTCCCGTGGCACCTCGGCCCCGGCTGCCAGCGGGTGGAAGGGACGCAGACTGAGAGACCGTGTCTGCTGTGGCAGCGGGGTCCCCGGGACCACTGGAGGCCACAGAGAGAAAACCCCAAACCCCATTCGCATTCTCCCGGGAAGAATTTCTCCGGGCCCCTAAAGCTGACGTGGCCATCGGGGTGCACGTGGGGTTGTTCTTATGGCAGCTGCTGGTGTCAGCTGTTAGTCATAAACAGAACCCGAATTTTCTCCAGAGAAGGGGTGGTCTGCCATCTCTCTCTCTCTCTCTCTCTCTCATTAATTCCAAACAAAAACCTCATCATCTGGGCAGATAAGGCCGATCCGAAGCCCTGAGGGAAGGGATGCATCTCACAGGCCTCCGTCCGGGTCCGGCGAAGGTCCCACAGGCCACGCATCTTTGGATTCGGAGACAGACGTGTCGGGGCGGCAGGACCGGCCTGCTCCGCCTGGGGCGGTGTGTGATCGCTCAGAGGAATGCGCTCTCCCCTGCCCCCGGCTGCCTCTTGTCCAGCCACGGGCCCTCCCGTCGCCGGGGTCGGCCCTCGGGGTCAGCCGCCAGCTGCAGGAGGGACGTGTGCATGCACATGTCCACCGGCCAGCTGCATAGCGTCCCGGACACCGAGCACCCCCCTGGGTGCAGACATCACCCACAGGGACCAGCGCAGGCGCCGGGTGCAGGGCCCGCACCCAGAGCGCAGGCTGAACGGCCAATCCAGGCCCAAGAACCGCAGACTTTGCGGCGGATGCTGCACGTCTAGGGAGGGCGCTTGCTAAGGTGACCAGACATCCCACTTTTGGCGGGACAGTCCCGATTTTTAACAATTTGTCCCTCGTCCCGTGGCATTTTTAAAAAAGCCCCGATTTTTTGCTGAAACCGGTTTGGCTCAGTGAATAGAGCGTCAGCCTGCGGACTAAAAGGTCCCGGGTTCGATTCCGGTCAAGGGCATGTACCTTGATTGCAGGCACATCCCCAGTAAGGGGGTGTGCAAGAGACAGCTGATGGATGATTCTCTCTCGTCGATGTTTCTAACTCTTTCTCCTTCTCCCTTCCTCTCTGTAAAAAATCAATAAAATATATATTAAAAAAAAAAAAAAGTCCCGATTTTTGGAAAGATTCCGCGGCGTTTTAAAAAAGTCCCGATTTTTTCCAAAAATCGGGACTTTTTAAAAATGCCGCGAGACAAATTGTTAAAAATCGAGACTGTCCTGCCAAAAGCGGGCCGTCTGGTCACCTTACACTTGGTGGGAAAGCAGAGCTGGGCGCCCTGCCCGCACGCCGTCTCCAGCCCTCCCGGGCCACGTGCTGTAGACAAGGGAGTGAGCGAGGCCCTCTGGGCTCAGTTGTTCCCTCTGTGCAATGGGTTAACAGCCTCCCCTGCCTCCCGGCCGTCCCGCAGACTCACTGACAAAAGCCACCTGAGGCTCTCGGGACAGATGCCCGCTGTTGTCTGAGAGCTCGTGTTGTCCTGGCATTTTATCTAACCATCCTGGTGTGTAACCGGGGAAACTAAGGCCCGGGAGAGGGAGGGACTGACTTTCCCGGAGGCCCCAGAGCGGATGGAGCATGAAGCCGGGCAGGACACTGGGCTTCCGGGCTCCCCCAGGACCCCCACCCCCACCCCGGACGCCCTGCAGGAGCTGAGCACTTCCGAGGGGCTCGAACCCGTGGCCTCCCCCTAGGCGCTAAGTACAAAAACAGGCCTCCAAGGGCACAGCCCCTCCCCCCGGCCGGGCGCCCGTCCACCAGGCTGGAAGGAACATAATGTCCCCGGCCATCGAAGGGGAAGCCAAGGTCACTGTCAGGCCCTCTCCCCGAGGGCCAGCCCCGCCTGCTGCCCCTGGACACTGCTGGCACGGAGCCCCCCGCCCCCGGCCCGCCGGCGCGGACACGGAGGGCAGTGCGTGGGGCCGCCCTCTGGCCCGCTGGGGAGGGAGGACCCCTGTCCCTCAGCTCCCACAGAATGCACAGCTCTGCACTTTTTCACAATAAATAACACAAGAGAGCTCTCTCCCCGCCCGGGGGGATGCAGAGTGCTTTTCAGGAAAGCGGCCGAGAGAGGCGATGGGTCCCGGCCTCGCCTCCGTGTGTGTCTGGCCTGGAAACGCAGGAATAAGCCGAATCGTCTGTGTGCATCACAATGAGCTTTAGAGCAGGGGTGCCCTGGGCCGGGAGCAGCGGCCGGGCCCTGGGCAGGGCGGGAGTGCCACCTAGCTGCCCTCCTGGGGGACACTGCCCTTCCCTGGACGTTCTCCGTGCCCGAAGGAGCCAGCCCGGGGCCAGCACCCTGCTGGGCTGATGAGAGAGACAGACGGAGAGGCCAGCATCGCCTTGCCTGTCCGCGCAGAGCGAGCAGGCCAGAGGCAGCTGGGTAGGATCTGCGAGTCTGGCCTCACGCCACCCCCGGCCACACACACAAACTCAAGATGGATTGAAGATGACAACGGAAGGCCCGCAACCGTGAAACTCCTGCCCAACACTCCCTGACGTTGATGTTGGCAATGATGTTTGGGGCTTGCAACCAAAAGCTCAGGCAACAAAAAGAACAGTAAACCAGTGGGATTGCGTTAACCTGAAAAGCTTCTGCACAGCAAAGAAAACAGCCAACAAAGTTAAGAGGCAGCCTGTGAAATGAAAACCATATTTGCAAACCAAGTATCTCATGAAGCGTTAATATAAAACTAATCCGTATGTGGAGTGATTCCTGTGCATCTGGAGGGCGTAGGCCTCTGGGAGAGGAGGAGGAGGCCACGCTGAAGGAGGCCAGCCAGGGGCTGGGGTGAACACTGAGCCCCCGCAAACACGGGGTGTCAGGCCAGGAAAGGGGGTGCCGGGTGGCAGTTCATGGCACAGTAAACTCGTTACTGAAAGTCTGCGGCACACCAAAAAGGTTATTTTTTGCCGATCTGACAAAAACAATAGGTATAATTTTTATTGGTTTACAGAAATAATAATAGCAATTACCCACCCGTGACTTTTTTTTTTTTTTTTTTAATCAGATGCCTGTACTTGTATATCAGGATTTCTGGTACCAAGAATTAATCAGTCAGATGCAACCTTAATGTGCAATGTGACCAAGAAGATGCTACTCTTATATGACCTGTAGATTCCCACTGGGAAATTCCCACTGGACGGGGCATTCCCACTGGGCGGCTATTGTTGTGTTGACTGTTGTCATTTTTTTATTTGACAATTTGAGAAAGAAGAGGTGGATGCCCCTGACTAGTCAGGTAGTGCATGTTTTAAGAACTCTTGTGGCACAGGTTGAAAATCACTGCCCTAGAGAAAGAAAATATTTTAGAAGTAATCCTGTTATTTGTAGATTTTTAATATTTCCTACAGCTTTTGTGGTATTATACTATGTTAGTATAGTTTTGGTAATATATTATTTCTTGAAATATTAATGTTTATTGCCTGTAACATTATTTAAAATTGTTTTTCTTGGGAAAAAAGAAAGAAAGAAAGAAAACCTCTGAGGGGAGGCTGATGAGAGGTGAAGCCAGCAGGGAATCTGAGGAGCTCTGGACAGAGGGACGGGGACGCCATGAGCATGAGGCAGGACCTTCCTGCCAGGCAGGGTTTTATGAAGAAAGTTGTCACTGTGCCCGAGGCTGCTGAGACATCTAGCAGCCGGGGCGAGTCAGCTCAGCTCGGCCACTCAATTCTAGGCTCCAGGAAGCTCTCAGCCCTCACAGCCCCTCCCCTCCCCCATGGATGCAAGTCTGCACTTAAGCCTTCATTCCTTTGTTTAATTACATCTGAAGTCCCGTGAGTGAAATAGCAAATTAAGTCATTTCTACCCTCTGGAGGGATAAGCTTT